TTGTGAGTAAATAGGTGGCTGGTCCGTACATTCCTCTGGTCACACGCTGCACCTAATCAGCACAATCTTCCCTATTGTCTTATTAAATTCCTTTCCTTAAATTCAAGTCCATAAATCCAGAGGGGCCCATGTGTCTGTGGTGCCAGCAGTTGGCACTAGTGTGCAAGCAGGTGTGCAAGCAAAGATCAGGTCAGATGAGCTGGCAAATAAGTGATTTGGCCGGGGATTGAGCCCAGCTGCATGCCAGCATTGGGTCTGCATTATTTTTTTTATCAGGTCCTTACCAATACATTTATTTTCCACATGAAGTGTCACTGGCAGGATGGCATCAGCTTGTAGTAAGCTCCTGGAAGGTCAGAGAAGAAATATACTCTCCAGAGACGTAAGAATTTCATTGGAGTTTTCAAACTGTCTTATCTATAATCCCCTTCTTGTATCTGGTGAGAGCCCCAAAGGGAGCAGAGGTGGGATGTACTGAGCAAGGACATACCAACAGCTCCTTCCCATTTCACCTTTAAGAAAAGGACAGATCTTGCCTATCTCATTTAGCACACCGGTGGGAGAAGGTCATTGCAAACATCACTAATAACCTTCAATACCATTTTCATGTATATCTGTGAGTTAGGAATGCATGGGGTCTCCTGCTTTTCCAGGCCTGCAGGAGGTTGTGCATCCAAGCCCTGTGTCTTGTGTATAGTTTCTGGAGATAAAAAAAAAATGTCTCCGTGTATGTGTGTCTGAATTCATCCCACCGACTGTAACACCACTGGAGCGTGGCTACATACAGCTGAGACAGGATCCCCTGCAGCACCAAACCAGCTCCCAGCTTTAACCCAAGTCATTGCACAAGCCCAGAAATTTTGGACTCTGACTGCTAGTTGGGAACAGGTCTGTGCTCCCGTGAGGAGATGGCTGGCTGGGGTGCAGTGCCTGAGCCTTTGGGGGGGGGGGGGGGGGGTGAGCTCCTAGCATCTTAATGGTCCTCCATCCTCTCCCTCAAGCTCCATGGGCCGATGGTGTTCCCAGAAGCTGCTTATTGGAAAGTGCACCCCCCTCCCCCCCCCCCCAATTTAGACCCCATCCTCTGCAAAAGCCCAAGGAGGCTTTAAGGGATGCGATGGGGTGATGCGAAGGGGCTAGAAAACCAAAGTGGAGTGTGAGAAAGCAGCCTAAATCCTTTACAGGCTGCAGCCACTGTGACCTTATGAGCCCCCAGACATCTCTGTTTTATCCACTGGATCCAATGCAGGATATAACTTTGCTCTACAAGCTCTGTTTTTCTTTTTTTTCCCTTTCAATAATTAGGGTTTTGACAACATCAGATTTAACAGAAGTTAAATCACAGCCTTACCTGTGCAGAAGACAGTGGATTGATTTCAACAGCGACACTAACCTTGGACTTTAGAGATTATATATGACCGAGGAATGAAACTCAAACATTTTCACATGTGTCCAAACATCAAAGCCAGATTCTGCTTTGTTCTGCAAAAGACAGGGTTATGTTGTAACTGCATGCGGAGGGCAAACTACCCTGTATTGCAGACTGGGCATTAGCCCAGATCTTGCAGTGGTAGAAATTCAGGCAGAAACTATCAAGCAGCTGTGCCAGAGCCAAGAAAAACCAAAAACTACTTGCAACTGCACAAGGCTTGACTGTGACAGTTAATATTCTCATTAACAATTCCAGCACCTTTTCACAACTTCCATGTTCCCTCTACAGCTCTCACCTCTTTTTTGTCACCTGTGGGTTCATTTCTTTGCTCTGGTACCATGATATAAGCTGGACCTCTTCCCACGTTCTGTTGAATGGTTTGGTCTTTGCCAGCTCCGAACCATGCCCAGCAATGCCTTGGGGTAGCTGGGCAGGTCAGAGCTGTAGTGATGTCCTGGCCAAGCAGTGTCTTCACTCCAAGGCTTTAGCATGAGGATTTTCTGTGTGGATGGTTTGCATGAAGATTGTTTGCTGGTTTTTATTGTTTGAAGATTGTAATGCACAGTGTATATTTGTGGTCATCACTGGTAGGGACTCCAGGTCAGAGCTGAGGGGTGAGAGATGGGTGCTGCACAAACATAGACTGGGCTTGGGAAACGGATGTAAAAATGAGGACGATGACAGTGATTCAGCAGAAAAATCTGACTTTACTTCCTTGTCAGAATGGTTTATTTAACCAGACAGTATTGAGTCTATAAAAGACTTCAGACATGCTCAAATGCATGCAGTTGTGAGAAGCAAAAAAGGAAAAAAAAAAAAAAAAAAAACAACAAAACCACTTAATTTGAGTCATATATGGAAGAGTATGGAAGCTCCAAATGAGTTAACCTGCAATTAAATTTTATTCTTAGATGGGTTGTCCCCTGGCACTGAGCTTTCCATTCCAAAATGTACCAGTAAGAGTAAAGAACTAGCCTGTGCTAATAGAAACCTTATTTGATTTATAAAAGAAGTTAAATTGGAAGGAATCCAGGGTCTTGAAATGTTTATTTGGGGGCCAGACCTCATGACAGTGTCTGTCTTGTGTAACTCCTCTATCACCCAAGAGAACTGAGCATGGAGTCTGGCCCTAAAACCTTGGTTTTCTCTTCTGTAGTGGGTAGTGAAGGCAATATTACTTTGACATTCAAAGCTTTACAATCTATTGAGTCAGTGCCTGCTCTCACAGCACGGTGAAAGTTCCTCTGCTCTCAGTTACAATTCCTGCTCTGCACACTGTGCAAGGGAAGGAGTCATGATGCTGCATGCTTCAGGTTTGGAGCAATACAGGTTAAATGTGTTGTAGAAGACCACCCCTGGTTAAACAACATCACTTCTAGTATTAAACTGTAATGCATTAGGAACTGTTGTCCCATTCTTGTTCCTCTAAACACAGCCAGATACAGCTCTGAGAAAGCCTCGACTTACTGCTGCTCATAAGGAAAATCGAAGAAACTCAGCGGCACCAATAGATACAACATTCACTTCAGAGAAACTCAAAGGAATACCGAGATTATAAGTACAAGGCAATGACACAGCTAACACCATCCATTGGAAAGGAAAGCAGATTTTGAAGGAGAAAGAGGAACGCGAAAGTTCGGGATTTTTTTTAAGAATTAAAACACACAGCTTTTGCAGGTGACCCTGCTGCCACACCCCCTGGTAGATGTGCCTGTGCACTCCCCAGAGAAGAGCAGCCCGGCTTCAAAGTGGCAGCACCTCTTAGTGGTACAACATCGGCGCGTAACAAGGTCACGGTCACAATTGCATTTACTGCCTTTACTGTCCGGTGGCCAAGTTATTCCCATGAGTCACAGCATATACAGAAATACCCTGTTGTCAGGCAGGACATACTGACACAAGTGCAGTGAAGCCAGGCAGAATGGGGGAGCATTTTTGATGGGGAGCAAAGCAAGGCTGCGATGAACCACTCACACCACCGCCTGACAGCTTGGGTGTGCTCGGGAAAGGCTTTGTGCACAAGCGTGTTCTAGCCCAGCTTGTGGGGAAAGCCGTACAACTCAATGCTCCACGTCCTAGCATCTTGGCCATAGGGAACATCTTTCCCAGAGATGCCCACAGACCAAGCCATGGCTTGGTTTCTTCAAGAATGTTTGTTCTTTAACGTGTTTTTAAGATAATTAATCCATATACAGTCAAACAGGTGAGGGGTTACTCTAAGATCATATGTGATGGGTAACTGTCATTCAAGTCTAATGGGAGATTTCAAGTACCTGTCCCCAAGCCCCATTTTTTTTGGTGTTTTCAAGCCTTGAAACTTTAGCTTGGTCAGCTCTGCAGACATGACAGTGCTGGTGAACCTCCATGGAGCCTCACAGCTCGCTGAGCAGAGGACTGGGCTCTAAGAGAGCAGGAGCTGGGCTGCCCAAGTGGAACGGTATACCCAGGGTCAACTTGGGCCCCCGGGAGAACAAGAACTTTTCTCAAAGCTAAGCAAGCTACGGCCTCTTGAAGGAGTAGGATGTGCAGTTCATCAGTTACTGGGAAACTCTGTTGCTGTTATCCTCCCCATACACACCTTGTGCTCCAGAGTCAAGCTACAAGGCCGCTTTCACGGAGACTGTCTCTCCTTGTTTCTTGTGACTTGGGCAGGAAAGAATTTCCTCACAGAGTATGAAAAGCCCTGGTTAAAATCTTGTCTGTGGTACCCCTCTCACACACGCAACACACACCTCTTTCCTTTGAAGCCTCTCGTTGCTGCACAGCTGGAAGAGCCTTCTTTTAGCCCTGTGCTTAATCTTGGGTCAGGCCCATGGAGATGGTGGAGAACTTAGCCAGGTAGGTGACATGCTGAGCCTGGCTGCTGATGGAAGCTATGAGAGTCCCACCACTCCAGCCTTCCCTCTGGCACTTGGCAGAGGCATAGGATCACAGGACAAGTCAGGTTGGGAGGGCACTCAGGAAGTCTCTAGACCAACATGCTTCTCAAAGCAAGGTCAGCTATTGGCTTGGGGCAGGTTGCTCAGGGCTTTATCTAGTTGGACCTCTACACCCGAAGCCTGAAGATATGTTGCTGTCTAATATTACCCCCCAAAAGTGCTTCACTCTTCCCTATTTTCCCTTTGTAACTAGTCATTGAGTTCTTTTAGGACTGGAGGCAGGTGAGAAACCCACCAGCCACTTAGACCTTGCTGTCGTGGTCACTGTGGAATGAGCAGTGCGGTAACGTCTGAAAGCTTGTCTGGTTATCACATCCTGGGGCCAAGGGCAGAAGTCAGTGCCCAGAATTTGCACTCATGGAGTCTTTCTGACCTCAGGGAAGGATTTGCAAAGGTGCTTGGGGCTGGTAGCTAGTCCCGTTCAGAAACCTTCCCTGGTCATTCCAGGGAGTGTGCAGCCAAGTGACACACATACTGTCAAGTTACTGTTAGTCAGCTGAGCCATGTTAACAGTTTATATTTCTGTCCTTACCTTGTAGCAATGCACATATATGAATTAATTTGCTCAGTTACGCTAAATCTCATTCACAGAGACCAGTTACCCCAGCTCAGCTGATGCACAGCAACTTGGCAGGACTATTTGGTATCAAACACTAAGTGCAGAAGGGGAGAGGGAGACAATTCTTGTCTGTTGCCACATCCACGTCACTGCGCAATCATGAGGCCATACTTGGAGCACAGAAGGCCCCTTTTCTTTTCCCGTTCGGTGAGGAAATTCCTCAATTTGGTGGTGGGGAAGGTAACCAGTGCTTGCTGCCTGTTGTCCAAACCTGTCTCTTGAAGCCAGGGGCTCTGAAGGCACTCTGAGGCTGATGGCCTTCCCCTAGAACAGACAAAGGTGAGAAAGTCAGTCAGGGAAGTGTGCTGGGTGAGGAGGCTCCTTGGAACTGGGGGGAAAGAAGAGGCAATAGCCAGGATCTGCACCAACTGTGCTGTTGGGAGAGCAGACACCATCTTACCAGGGGTTTGCACACAGCGTGCTCTGGAGAAAGGACACTGCTCCCCCAGAGAGACCCGCGTAGCATCGTGTGAGCTTCACTTTACCCTTCCTGGTTGTTCTCAGAAACTCACAGGCTACATCGGAGCTGACAGGGTAGTTGGCACTCAACCTGCCCCAAAAGAAGAGAATTGATCAGCATGAAGGACATCACTTAAGACGCTCCTTCTCCCATGAATTCCCACCCAGCAGTGAGAGGAGGGTTATAATAATGCACAGAGATATCATACCAGAAACAAAACCCCAAAAGCCACTGTTCTTCAGCAGGTTTCATGGCTTTTGCTGCTTTGTCATTTGGTGTAATTTGAATTTTTTTGGGTAAAATTGGAGCTTTACAGACGAGTCTGAGTGAGAAACAGCAGAAATTTCTGTGTTATAAAACAGCTTCCTTACTCTACTTTGGAGACATTGCTGGGACTGGGCATCCTGACATGGTGCAGCCAGCTCCATACCCTCCATCACACACCCTTCTGTGCATGGCCAAGGAGAGCGGGGCACAACTGAGGTTAACTCTCCAAGTCAATGCATCTCCCCTGGTTGATGACTCGGAAATTGCTCTTTTAAAGCTGCTCATAAGGCAGGGAATGACAGACTGACTTACATGATGAAGGCTGTGATTCCGACGGACCAGATGTCGGTCTGCGGGAGGGCTCCTTGCTCTGTCAGCAGTTCTGGAGCTAGAAAAGCAAACTGGTGTGAGCCCAGCTCCCCTCCAATGCACTGAGACCAGCACACAAGCAGTGAGTACTTTTATGCTTTGCTACCTTCCCAAGAGTGAAGAAGAAAAAGCTTCTAGTACAAGAAGCTAGTTGAGTAAGAGAATATTGAGAACACCAGGACCCTGAGCTCTGGACACGTGTGTTCTGGCCAGAGTAGTGTTGGCCGTGGCCCCTGGCTCTGTCCTTCGTGGTCTGCAAGTGAGGTGGCTGTCACCAGTGGATGTTCCCACAAACTCAGGCTGTTGCTGGAGGGCAGCACCTGGGAGACTTTGCTTGCTGGGGCCAACTGCTGCCTTGACCAATGGCCCTGTCTGTCTTTCTGTTTACCACAGATTGCATACAAGGCCAAGGTTGCTGTTACTAAACTCTGTACTCACCCATGGTTTCAACATAGTCCATGCACTTGTCCATAGTAATAACTTTGTCTTGTGTGTAGAACTGTGCATTGCCAAAATCCAGGAGTTTCAGCAGGTTGGGCTCGGTGATGATGATGTTTTCAGATCTGAGATCCAAGTGCAGGATGTCGTGTGTGTGGAGGTACTCAATGGCACTGAGGATCTGCCACAGGTAATCTCGGACCTCCACTTCTGAGTAGGATGTCCTGTTAGAATAAAGGAGATAGAAACCAGAGGTGTCCTATCTGCATGCCCAAGGACACCATTCTTCATTCACGATCATCCTCCCCTGGATGTCTCATCCCATGAGGCCCTTGAGAATCAAGAAGAAACAACTCTATTCATTTAGCAAATCTATTGTATATGGAGAGGCCATTCTGTACTGTGAGTCAGGTTTACAGATGCAAGAAGTTCAGGAGGATGTAGAGTTGCATGTCAGAGAAAGCAGTGGTTGTGCAGAAATCCAGATGCAGATTTGATGCCCACCATTCCCTCTCCTTTAATCATCGGGTTTCAGCAGATCCATTTTCTACCATTGTGAGAAACAATATAGAGGAGAAGTGAGGCTTTCTGAGCCACAGTAATCTCCTTGTTATGGGAGAGGGTGTTTCATATAAACTACTGTGAACTGCTTTCAACATCTCAACTGGGTGGCCCTGAATGTCCTCTACCCCAACCTTGTAGGAAACTTACGTAATTTGTTTTATGTCACAAGAGGTTGCAGAACAAATACATCACAAATCCCATGTGCAATGACAGCACACTGGAACAGATGGAGAGAGATGATTCAGTTTTCTAGGGGAAAGAAATAGGAGTTTTTCTCCCTACACCAGCCCTGACTGGAAAACTCTTCCCTCCACTTGTTGTTACCGTAACGCCAAAGAGTGGAGTAGCTCTGGTCCCACACACATCTCCTGGATCAACACTAAGTGCCGTGGGCTGACATAGGCTCCCTTCAGCTGAGCTATGTTTGTGTGATGAAGCTTCCTCAGGACTTGGTACTCCAGGAGCACAGTCTGCTTGTCCTCTTGCCAGTAAGGGATAATTTTAGCAGCTAAAGTCTTGCCGCTCACTTTTTCTCTGCACTGTCGGACGATGCTGAAACGCCCCCTGGTACAAAGGAACACAAGGGCAAGTTAAACCTCTCTGCTACTCTTGGAAGAGCCAGGAGCTTCTATTCTTTAAAACCACCAGGATCCCATGCTGTGTTTTTCATCCATGCCCGATGTGGAGTTATTGCATCTATTGTCACAGTTTGCACAACCTCTCGCGTCTCTAAATTGTACAGTCGCTTTAAATTGCAGGAGTGAGAGCTGAACTCCTTTGGAGAGAGAGAACATGGCTCATCCTATCTTGAGCAAGAGAACTACCCCTTGTTAGAAACAGAAGTAAGTGCCTATCTTCTAGCTAGATTCTCAAGAAGATCTCAAGTTGAATCCTAACTCCATGTCTGAAACTGGTAGCTGCAAAGGTTTATGCAGCAAGGAGAGGAGCCTTTGATAGCCCTGGGGTCACTTCACAATATACTAAGGGTCTGTCCTGGTGCCCAGCAGAGACCCTTTTGCTCTCCCAGAAAATCCACACCTGAATCCTACCAAACCAAAATGAAGATCATTCAGCCAGTGATCTCAGGCTCATATGTATTGCTGTGGAGGTGTTTTCAACACGACACTGTGACACTAGGTGAGCAGTGCATTTGTAAAAGTGACTTTTCTAGGCTCCAGCCACACACAGCATTTCTCTCTGGCTGGTTGAGTGCTCAGCTGGATTCATTACCTTTTGATCTCTGTTTGGAAGGCATAGGTCTGGTAGGTTGGGAAAGGCTCAGATGGTGTGATCATTTCGCTCTCTTCTTCAGTAGCAGCCGATGGCAAGTTCTCCATTGCAGCACGAAGCTCTGCAGAGAAAAAACAACAAGGGATTACATGGGAAAACACCTCTGTCTGGGAACTGGAGCCTCTCTGAGCCACCCTCCACTATCTATGAACAACGACAAAGGCGACAGCAGAACTTTCTCCAGGCAAGTCTGCAGGTTGTCTCCCAGCTGTGGCACCCAACGCTATCTGAATGCAACAGATTCTGGACTGTCCACCCAGTAATTCCCTCGTGCGACCACTCCAGACTATGGGGTGGATTATATGTTGTGTGCTATGATATCAAACCTCTCAGCCCCTGGTTCTCATCTTCTCACATAAAAATTCATCAGGGCATGGTAAGACACTGACAAAGAATTAGAAACTTCTTTTAGGGCAGCAGCTGAAACTTGTTGCTCTGGTCCTGGCTTGTGGTTGTGTCTGAGCGCTCCCTGAAATACTAAAGCATCCCATGACACATTAGAGCATCTGCTTGGAAATGCTGAGCACAGTGAGATATGCAAATGAATCCTGGGCCAAGGGAAAGCAGAGGATTTAGGGTGAGTTAAAAATATCTCTGTGAACTGTTTTTTACAGAATAATCCTCTCCACTGGGAGGAAATTCCAGTTAGACCACCCTTCCGCTTCTTGGCAGAAAGGATACTTCCTTTGCTACAAGGATGTATTTGCTCTGAGGTTTTGAATTTCTTAATTTTAAAAACATGTGAATAGTATGAAGTATTGAAACAGGTGAAAAAAATAGTAAATTGAGCTTTCCTTATTTCAGAGACAAAATACAGCTGAGAAATGCACCACAGTGGGGTGATAATTCCCAGCAGCAAACACCATAACATGTAAATTAACTACTGAATTTAGGACTGAGTCCATAACAAAGAGTACGTCCCAGGCTTTCACCAGTGGCAGATCTATATCAATAGATCAGTGCCTCCAGTAACACAATCATTGGCCCGGACCTGTTTCCTCATGATCTCACATGAAAAACTGAGTGTGTCTTCAGTGGGCAGTCTACAGTTTCCAGATTTTTATTTTATTATTAAATTTTTATATATATGTACAAATTATTGATATTTGTATATCGCTATTATTTTATTATTTGTTTGTTATATATTTACACATATTCCCCAACTGCGTCCAGATTTAGAAAATAATTTAAATAAGAAAGCCAAAGAGGAGGAAGCCCTTAAACCGCCCTGAACCAAGTGGAATTGGCCTTGATTCACTTGCTCTCGACCTCTGGACCCTCATCCAAAAGGGTGTGATTGTTTTGATGCAGGAAACCCACAATGTTTTCTTGGCATTTGATCTTACCCGTTTGATCTTTCCCAGTGATTTGCACTTTGGCAGATGGGTCGCTGTAAGGCCCCATTCCTGCTTTACTGGTGCAGGCTATCCTGAAGCAGTAGATAAACCCCTTGGAGAGATTTTTGGCATAGTAGCAGCAGTCAGCAATGTCAGAAGCAAGAGTCATCCACTCCCCATCTTAACCAAGGAAAGAAAGAAAAGAGATTAGGGCTCATTTAAGATGCTTACACCATTTTGTTTTTTTTTTTTTGTTTGTTTGTTTGTTGTTTTGTTTTGTTTTGTTTTGTTTTGTTTTTCAGTTTTGGGGTTTTGTTGTTTTTTGTGTTGGTTTTTTTTTTTTTTTTTTCCATCAACATTACTTATGTGCTGGGAATATGGTGGAACAGTGGATTCTCGTAGAGTGAAGGAAAAACTGACTTGCTATGGCCAACTTTTGTGCATGGTGCCATTGACTGTACATGTGCCAAAGTCATCTTTCCTGAAATCAGCTGGTTTATATCTAATCAGCCCAAGGTTTGGCAATATTGTTTCAGAGGAATGGCGGAACTTTCCTGTATACTTTCTGTTTATCCTGTTCATGCCACCAATATCTAATGTAAATATACATCAAAACTCCAAACAAAAGCCTAGAAAAATTACCATTTTTTTTTCTCTTTGTCCCTGTCTTGAATTCAACTGAAACCATGAGGTGCTGGATTTCAGGACAGAACTATTCATTAACACCTTCGTAGGAAACCCAGTGTTTGAAACTTTGGTAGGTTTAATCAGCTTTTATGAAACTCAGATGATTTTTCAGGGAACTGAAATTGTAGGTATGTTCTGGACTCATTATTCACGGGACTGAGGTGTGAAGTAGAAGATCACCAGCAAACATTTAATGATCATTCATTTCACGTGATGCCGTGTCCTGTACTTTGCCATTGCTGCTGTGCACAAGGCTGAACTCAACTCCCTGAGACTGCCTGAGATTAAACCCATCCTTTCATTCAAATAAACACTGGTAGAGAGCCTCAAACCATAGGAGAAGCAATAACCCATCACACAAAACAAAGGTATCAGTGACTTTGCATGATACTGGTTGAATTAGGGTGTGTGTATGTATAAGAAGGAGCAGATACAGCTTAGAAACAGAGAAAAGTGTCTGCAGAAGCAACATGCAAAAGCCTACTATCAGATAATGTTTAAAACAAGGATTTTTTTTTTTTTCTTCTGATTATCTTAATTCTCCTGTGTTCAGGAAAGCAGGACTTTTCATGATCCTGCCAAATGCACAGAACGCAATGGAAGTTTGTAGATGTTGTTTCCTGGTTTTCTTCCTAATTGGAACAACTTGCATGTGTATCCTCCCTAAAGTCTTGCCTACAGTTGTGTCAAAAGGAATAACAATAAAGCAAGTTGTGTTGGAGGAAAAGTGACTGACAGCAACTCCAAAGTGAAAAGATAGAAAGCTGCTGCCCATGCTTATGCTAATCCAGGAAGGAGTGCATGTATGTTTGGAGAATTAAAAGTAGGAACATGGAGCAGCTGAATCCAAAGGCTGTGTACGTGTGACTGCAGTAGAAATTCCTATCAGACAAAGCCTTCGTAATAATAACAGCAAAAGCAGTCCCAGGAGAGATGGAACAGGCTTGGGGATTTGATTCAAAGTTCATGGAGTTAAACAAGAAAACATCCACTGACTTCATCAGGCTCTGGACCAAGCCTTGGAGGAGACTATCAAAGGGATGATGCAGTTTTGCCAAACTTTTGTCATCTTGCCCTGGCTGTTTGCCATAAACTTTCAGCATAATCAATGGAAAAGAAAGCATAGCTGTTTAGTAGGGGATGAATTGCCTTTTTGATAGACCATCTGTCTCCACAGACCATGCAGAAAACCTGGGTATAGGATGATATTTTCTGCTGATTGTTATTGCTGGGCATTATTAGCGTATAATGTCAGAACTGTAGTTTGAGAGGATTACTCAGGACTGCGTATCTGGCACCAGCCATGCATATTCTTCTGTAGCTCTTCACTTTTTGCTCATGTCTTCCATGCGACCTAGTCTGATTCACACTTTAACAAAGCCTTTATGTGAGTATGCATATTCCAGGCTGATATAGCCAGCACAACATCTAACTTTTAGATGGCTAAACGATGGCTGTATGAATTTCATTCCCAACTCTAAACCAGGGAGCTAAAATCGGACTGTTTCTGAATAAAAATAAAACATCCAGCTGAGGAAGAGATCATACAAATCAAGATGTTCCCTGCAAGGCATAAGGGCAGTATTCCACTCACCTTCGCTCTTGCACTGGACAGTGTAATGGACGGGGGTGTTGGTTTCCATAGGTTTCCAGACCACCTGCACTCCATCCTTATAGACCTCCACGATGTCAGGGGGTGGAGGGCTGGGAGGAACTTCTGTTGAGAGGAGGCACAAAACCCAGTGACTGTTAGTAATAGCACTGCTGTGATACGTACCTCTACACCCAGCATTTCCCAGTTACAGATATTCTCTTATATATATATATATATATATATATATATATATATGAAAACACACCTAGTGGAACAGCAGTTTAACTGTGCCTAATTTAAACTCAACATTAAGATTTTGAAGTCTGGTTCTAGAACTTCATAGTTACTGGAGTGGCTCTGAATCCAGGAGAGAAACTGAAGAGTCAAGAGGAGGGAATGAACGCTGCAGAATGTGCCACGTTACCAGACAGCCAGGGTCGTGGCTGTGGGCTAGAGCAGGCAAGGGAGAGATTTTCCTCTGAACCTATCGACAGAAATCTCACCTCACAGGTATTTACAGGTCACATTTCTGGGCAAAAATGCTTGTAATACCTACTTCTGTAGCTAATTCTTCTCTTACCTGCTTTTCTTATGATGCAAGAGGTGGATGCTGAGCCCAGGGAGTTTGTGGCCACACAGGTGTAAATACCAAAATCATCAGCACTAATGGAGAGAATAGTTAACAGCTGGAAGTTTTTGAGCGTAGCTGAGATGAGAATCCGGCTGCTGCTGTGGACAGGTATCCCATCTGAAAAGCAGAAGATAGGAGAGATAAGTCCCCTGCACATTTTATACCAAGGTGTCTGAAAGCCTCCCTGCACCCCTGTCCCGGGGATGGGGACTCCCTAGGGGGATGCCACTGTCACCTCTGAACCAGCCGATGTGCAGGGAGGAGTGAGCTGCTGTCCGGCACGACAGCGTCACGCACTGTCCGACTGCAGCAGCTTGATCAATGAGCTCCTCAGTGAACGAAGGTGCTGCAAAGAAGAGGAAAAACAGCAATTCAGAGTAGCCGAGAGGGTGATGCGGAAAATAAGTGCGCACAGGACGTCAGAAAGCATTTTTAATTGGTTTCAAGAACATTTCTGGTTCGTGCTCTGGCACTCCTTTGACCACCCATTGGAGAATTCCCTGGGCATTGGGCACACGGGTGCAGGATCCCTCTTCATCCCCATGCATGCAGTATGACTGCTCATTCATGGTAATCCAGATGGATCTTGGAAGGCCCATGGGGAACATCTGCATTGCCCAGCCCTGCTGGTACAGCTATGGCATCAGAACAGCTCAGAGCAGAGAGTGAGCATGTCACAGCAAGAGTTTTCTTCAGGCTTAGCTTAAATGGGGGTGCAAAACTAAATTATGGTATCTCAAGGATGAGGGGATCAGCTGAAGGCAACACAAGAAGAGAGAAGATATAAAAGATAGATATGGAAGGAGGTAAAAAAACAGGGCATCAAACAAAATCTCCATGGGAAAGGGGGAGCTCAAGTTTTCTTCTTTATTTCTCCAGGATTTTTCCTCTGCAGTGCCCAAGAGCTGCCAGCCTCACATGCCTGCCCTTCCCAGTGCTTGGCTGGGCTCTGCTGAATAATGGGGCATTAACCTGAGCTCAGAAAATGCTCCTGCTAGAGTTAAGGGGAAACTTGCCTGGGCAAAAGCAAGTTTGGCTTTGATGCCCCAGCATTTGGGGCTGCCCCACCCTTTTTCATTTCATAGCTCTATAGCAGCGTGTCTGGCCCTTACACTTGCGTGCAGGACTGGAGCATAGGAATTGACAAGTGCCATCCCACTCTTGGACAGTCCCTTTATTCTCTTTCGAGCTTACACAGAGATTTCATTCCTTTTCAGTGGCTTCCTCGAATGGCTCCAATTTGCAAGCAATGCCAAAGACAAGACAGTTTTAGGAAGGACATAGTTATGATGTGAACAGAGGAGGCTGGCCCATATTGCATGAATTGGTCCAGGTCATCTCAAGACAATCATTGCAGATCCATCCTTAGAAATGGGACTCCCACAGCACTGTCATATTCATTAGTGACACTTCATGACAAAACTAACTGATGACTTATGCAATAGTAATACCTTTATCCTTTGGCATGAGACTTGATAACTTGAATGAAGAGAGTGCTGATTTCCTCTTCAGAGATCCTTCAGCCCCTGTTAACAGCTCTTCTTCTAATGCCTCACTTCCCAATTCACCAAATTCTGTTTTGAAGAAAGGATGAGAAGTCATTTTAAGTCCATCCTTCTCCCTGTGGCATCCATTTATAGCAGACAGTTCTGCCATTTGTACGTAAATAGCTCAACAGTCACAGGTTTCCTTATTATCAAGCCTTCAGTCAACAGGGAAGGCTGTGATAGCTATTATAGACAGAATGATGTCCTGGAAGAAGAGGACATGTCAAGGGATGGCAGAGAAGAAAAGACAGACTCTGTTTTTCAGTGTCATCAACTTAGGTAGCTAGGGTGACTTCAACTTCTCCCAGTCACTTTAGGTTTAAAGATTTGCCACGGTCAGATGATAGCTGCAGGAGGACCTGCAGCAAGAAAAGCATCATCCAGCCCTCGTCTGCTTTCGTGAAAACTCAGACAGGGGAATTTAAACCACTTCCATTATCAGATTAATCCAGCTGACTCTGCACCAAAGTGAGCCAGTAACAGAGAGCTAGTGGTAGGACTGAAGACTGATAATTTCATAACCTGAAACTGCCAGTTTTGCAATGACTGTCTAAACACAACCTCAGATATGCTGGGGGAAAAGGAAAAGGCAGATTTAGCAGAGCCCAGTTATAGCAGCAAATCTATGAAGGCACAGAGTAAAATATTTACCTTCCTCTGCCTCTGGCTCAGGAGATGTCTTTCCTTTTAGGATTCTTGAAATATGGGCAACAGAAGCTTTTACTTTCTTCTTCAGACTCTGCTCCACTGACTGCTCCACTGAATGAGACCTTGCATATGGCTTAAAGAGTCCTGGCTTGTTGTAGAAGGAGCTTTTCTGCTTACCACTTGCGTCTTTCTGGGGGCCATACCTTTCTTTATGACTCTCTGACCCTTTCCCCATGGCTAATAAATTAGTTGCTTTTGAGTCCTCAGATATTTCCAAATGGTTCTTCCTGTTCTTGTCCTCTGCCCCTTCTCTGATGCAGAGTCTTTTATCCTTATGCAAATGTCCCGCAGGAGGTGACCTTGCCCTTTCACCAAAAGGTATAAACCGTCTCCCAGTTGGTTTGGGTGGAGGCTTCCTATAGTTCATAAATTCAAATGGAAAATAGACAATGTCATACAAGTCAGAGAAATTCAAATAGGCAGGCTCTACCTCTGATATGTCAAGTTTTGGAGTTCCACTGCCAAGACTGGGTGTTTCATCTGACAAGTCTTTGATTTTCACTAAAGAAACTTCTGGGTGTTTACCAGTGCCCTTGCTCACTGACACTTGACTGGGTCTTTCTCCAGTGTCCAAGCCATCTGTTGAGGAAACACTCACTTGGCTAGAAGTGGGGCTCTCAAACGCCAAGTCCTCCAGATGCTCACATTCACGAGGAACCGTCTGTGCTCCCTGCCCTTCCAATACCACTGACTCCTCATTCACAACAAGATAGGGTTCTGCAAGGTCATCCAGCTCAGAGACTTCTCCTCTTTTACCCCCTTGTACAGAAGGGAAGGACGTATCCGTGGGTGCTTGGCTACCCGAGCCTTTGTAGAACATCTCTGTGGGAGAAGAGATGTGCTTTCTGCCTTCCTCTTCACCAGTAACTGACTCTGCCCAAACATTCATCTCTTCAGAGAGGGAAACCATCTCATCCACTAAGCCCTCCAGCACAGCAGACTCCTCATCACTGTAAAAAGAAGACCTGTGATGTGAAAGCTCCTGACTTTCATCTCTGTGGAGCGACGGTGGGACAGTTTTTCCAGCATCACAGCTTCCACTTTCCAAGGCAATGCTTCTACCCTCACCATAAACCTTTGGATGTTCCTCATGTTGTAGCTCATAGACTGAAGCTGGAGCAACTTCTGGTTGTGAAGCAGTTAAGACACCTCGTGGCCCACCCTCCTGATCAGCAGAAACTCTGCCATGGGGATAGGCAGCCCTGTGCTGCTCAAACACCTGATGTCCAGCCTTGGAGAAAGGAGCAGGCGTAGTCTGTCTGGCTGCTCGGCTTCCACTTGCTGTCACGACAGATCTCACCTCACTGCGAGGTGATGCCTTTGCATATTCTTGTTTTTCACTTTCACAGACTGAAGGGAGGCCAGTATTTTGGGTCGACACCGTTCTAGCTGGCTGTCTGCTCTCCAGACCAGCAGGCACCATGCCATTGCCCTCAGAAACTGTCTGGGGTTCCGCTCCCACAATTTCAGCCTCATGGGCCAAACTGGGAACAATTTCTGCAACAGCTGAGCTTTCACTCCTCAGATCAGCTCCATCAGAGACCAAAGTCGGCATTGGTTTTGGTGGTGGGGCATCTGGAACAAGATACTCTCCCTTCAGGATGGCTGATGCTGTGTCTACGTGAACAGGAGCCCTCTTGGGTGCTTGGTGTTCACCATCATGGGTCGATGGTGGAGTGATTCCTGTAATACCTGGTCCTTCATCCTCCAGGAGAGCGGATCTCATCTCTTTATAGGTCTTCATCTGCTGATGAGTGCCTTCATCTTCTGTGTGCAGAGCCCTTATGGTACCTGGCCGTTTGCTCACCAAGACAGTAGTTGCTGGAACACTTTGACCAGGAAGTTCCTGACTTTTGTCCTTACGTACTGGAAGTGAATTGGTTTCTGTTTGCAGGCCTGTTAAAACAGCAGAGCTTTCATGCTCCATGAGATCAGATCTGGCAACACTATGAGCAGAAGTCTTCTCATGTGCATATTTCTGCTTTTTGTCTTTCCAAGGTGGAACTGGGGCTGTCCTTTTGCTAAGCAAGCTTTCACCTTTCAGATCCGGATGGATGTCCGTACTGTGAGCAGACTCCTGGGGCAGGTACACGCCTCCCTTACTTGTAGGGGTGGACTTGCAGGTGGTCTCTGACTGTGTGAGAATGGAAATGGACTGTTTTCCCTCCTGAAAACCAGTGTCAGAGGCACTGCCAGGGCAAGATTTACCCTCCATGCTTTCATGTTTTTGAGCTGATGATGCCGTTACATCTGAGTGCTGGTCAGTTAGAATGGCGCTTTTGCCTTCCAAATCTTCAACTGTCTCCTCAATGTAAGTAGCTTTAGACTTCTTCAGTAAATGTTTCCTATTCTCACTCCTATGAGTTGACACTGGAAGTCTCTCTAGCTGTTGCACAAATGCAGCCGGGCATCCATTACCCTCACATTGTGTGGAAGGAGGGGGCTGCCCTTCTGAACAATCCTTGCTAGCTCTCCTAAAGTCCTCTTGCTTTGAAGTGTCTACAGAACATCCCTTGCCAGGCCCTGCAGAAATGTCACAGTGATCACTGCCTTCAGGGCAACTTTCCTGTGACAATATATCATAGTCTTCTTCCAAAATATCTTGTTCCCTCACTGATCTTGAGGCTCTCAGCCTATAGTCATCCAGGGAACGGCTTCGGCTAGCACCAGCAATGGCAGGATGTGGTGGTTTTCTTGCAGTGTCAAATGAAGCTGATTTGGTCAAGGAACCAAGCAGGCCTTCCCTGTGCTCATCTCCATCATCGGTCTTCCCTTCTTCTTCTTCCAGTTCGAACTGCTCTAGAAGGGGTTCACGGAGACCACTGAGGGGGACCTTCGAATATCCGGCTTTCCTGAAAGTCCTTCTGGCTCTGTCCAGGTGCCTTCTGAATTCCCTGCCTGGTGAGGAAGGGCCCCTTGTGGGTAGCTCAGCTGCTTGGCTGTAGAAAGTACTTTTAATGACACTCTGCCTAGGAACACAGACAGGTGGCTTTTCCGCCCCATCCCCAGCCTTTTCAATTCTGTCCTTATCAGATAAAAATATGTCTGTTTTTTCTTTCTGACATAGTTGCGATGTGCTTTCAGTGCAAGTCCTCACTGATGAAGGCTCAGCGGCACTGCTGCTTTGGGACTGCTCTGCTCTTCCATCTTGAAGTCTGGAATGGAGCCCTTCCACCTTCTCCTTTAAGATACTTGCCATAGTCTCTTTGCTTTCTGTAGGTGATTTGTTCCCCACCTCGGGTTTCATTGAAGCATACTTCCTCCTCATGGGTTTTACTGGAGGGACGGAGATTTTGGGGTGCTTCTCTTCGCTTGCATGTTTTGGAGGCTCCTGATGGCTTGGTGCGTCAAATATGGACAAGTGCAGTTCGGGTGTAGAGCCAAAGTGCCTCTTCTTGGGGAAATGTGAGTTCTCATTATCTGAAGAGGAGCCACTAGTACTGGACGAAGTGCTTTCTTCAATAAGATGTCGGGAGATGGCCAGGGAGGTGTTGTCGTGAGTCCTTTCTAAGATTTCTGGGATAGACCGCATTACCAGTATGGATTTGTAGCACATCAGAGACCGCTGAAAAGCAAAACAAAATACAGCGCAGTCAGATGGAAACATGTTGGGAGTATGGTAAAGCAAGCAAACCAAAATGAACTTCTGCACTTTTAAATACCACACATACTAGTTTAATAACACAGTGCCACCCTGTTGCACATATCATCAATCCGGGCCTCATTTGCTCTCCAAGTCTTCCTCTTCTCTCTTTCACAGAGGTGAAACTATATTGACTTAAGGGGACGTGCTGCTGTGAACGGGGAAGCAGGACCCTGCTTGAGATTTTCAAAGACAATCTGGCCACTCAAAGCAGATGGAAAAGGAGTTTTTAATGGAAGATTTCAGATGAGAGTCTATCTGGAGTAAATGATATTAAATCTACAGACTGCGGTACAACCTACAGTGATTTAGGCCAACAGAGGAGCTGCCATACTGTAGGAGGTAGGATTCATCTGCTCTAACTTCTGCCATGTGAGACATCTCAGCTGAAGTTGAGCAGCTGGCCTCCCGTTAGAGCCAACAAACAGGCATCTTCAGAAGGCAATCAATCTGATTATTTTAGAGAACTTCAGGAAAAGAGGAATCATTTTGAGACCTGTCTATAATTCAGTACCAATCACAAAGGCATCTGAGCATACCTAACTTAGACACAACCATGCGTCTTACAGGCACCTTCATTAGACCAGATGATTTCCAGAAAGTAAAAGCCTAGATGATTTATTTCTGCCACATCCATTAACCATGGTCTCCTGGGCTTATTCCCTCTTCATAGCCAAGCTGAGATCTCTTCTGTGCTTACTGTTCTAGCCCGATAGATAGGCAAATGTAATTTAAAATATATGTATAACTAAAAAGAACCAACAGATTAAGGCCAACTCACCTGCCATTTGCTCCGAGCCACAATGAATTTGAGCTGCTTGGTATTAATGAAATGAGCTGCTTCGAGGGGGAGATTATGCTGCCAGGTGGAATGAGAGGAAAATCATTGGTTAAAAAATCCTGAGAATTTATTTTTTTAGGATTTCCTCCTTCCAGAATTTTTTAATTTAGGAAAGTTATAATAGACCAAATGCTACAATCCACTAATGAATAAATTGTAGAAAATTTCAGTGATAAAAGCAAGCCCTGTTCAATGCATGTCATTAAATTCCTATTTTTTTTTTTTTTTTGGTTACTTTTTAGCTCTTCTCCTTAGCAATTTAAGGCATTGGAATATAAACCATAACATTTTCTTTGCAAAACCAGTTTCCTTTCTATACAGGCATGTTATGTCTGCACATGTCACTAGTAATCTTTATCTTTTGAAAGGAAATGTATCTTGGCATGTAAACACGTATGTGTCTCCTCTTCCTGGAGAGCCATGCCTGAGCTTCTCTGTAGGACAGAAAGTAGGGGACCAAGGGAAAAATTAAACCAATCTCCTCCAACCTCAGTATTTTTAATGACTCTAATAAAGAACCAGGACAAACTTACCATGAACCACTTGTGGGAAAGACAGTCCAAAGCACTAGGCCTGGCTCTGAGAAGAGAAAAGAGCACCATTTCAGTAGCAAGTCACTTCCAACAGCAACCACAAGATTTTCCTGAAGGTGCCTGCTTCATGTGGACACATGCATACACTTTTGGGTATGCCCCTAGGCTTTTTAGAGCTGAGAAGCCAAACAGAGCAACAGAAGCTTTCAACCCAAGGTTTCCTTCCCTTGAAGTGAAACAATCCTCCTTTTTCAGCCTGAGTCTCCCTGTAGATCCTCAGGAAGACCCCATGTCACTCTGCGGGGAGCCTGTTCGAGGGCATCAGGAAGAGCCTTAAGAGTGACTTTAGCTCTTTGGGTGTCCAGAGCAAAAATAGCTTTAGCAGCAGACAGAAAGGATGGAAATGACACTGAAAAACAAGTGCCTGCAAACATGCCTTCAAGACGCCTTTTGTATTTGAAATTGCTTAATGAATGTGGTTAATATGATTTAATTCTTGCATAACTCCCCCTATACCAGTCCTTGCTCTTGCCACTTCTCTATGTCATTTCAGAAACTCAACTGCCTGGAGGAGTCAGGGAGTAGAGACAGCGCCATACCAGAAACAGGGCAATTTGGCAAACTGCCAAGTCATGTTTTGGGTAATGGGGAATAATAAAGAAGAATTAGGACATAATGCACCACACCTCACTCAGCTTTCTACTTTTCAAAACAACTGCAGCTTTGATGAGCTGAGATCTGCCTGCTGAGACACCAACATCTTTGCACACTGGCTGTAGGAGGAATAAAAGTGCACTCACTTGGGGTGCTGCTGCAGGATCCCTTTCATAAAGTCCTTTGCATCTTCACTCAAGTGAACAAAATCAGGAATGGTCCATGAAATTTCCCCATTCTGGATATTTAGAAGGGTTCCTCTGTCGTTCTCCCCAGCAAATGGAGACTTGCACGTTAGGCTTATTTATTGAGCACCAAAAATAAGAGGAGACAGACTTTAGATTTCTATTTGCTGTGCAAGTGACAGAAGCACAAATGCTTACATGGGGCTTTAAAATTCTTGAGGGACTCCATGCGTGGGACTTGCAAAGCCTGTGAGCAGCGCATCCACTAGCAAAGCATCTTTCACCCCAACATTGCCTGGCACTTAATTATTTTTCCCTGTTTCGCACATAGGGAATTAAGGGTTTGATTTTGCACAGCTGCAGTAGGGTATTGGCTTAAACAGGCAAGGGGAAGGCTGGACCTCATCCACTGCTCTCATTGCGGACTGCAAGGAAAGCAGCTGTCAGGTCTTCAAGCAGGGACAATGACCAAAGCCCTGGACAACCAGGAAAGCACAGGTAAAGTAGAAAACCACAAAAGAAATTGCCCTCATTATAGGAGGACTCAATGCTTCACTCAAATCCCTCACCTAAAGGTGGTGGGTGGAGGGCTCTGACTGGCAAAGGGATATTGAATGAGTTTTTTTCAGGAGGATTTATTTACCTTAAATACGTGATGACTCCAACAGCCCTGAAGAGAGAGGGAACACAAATGTCAGGTGTTTGTCACAATTTCTCCATCTTTCTCAAGCACACAGCCCCTCTTCCTGCTACTGGACACCCTGACACAGTAAGATCACCTTCTCCTCACCTTTCTAAGGAAAATAAATCCCAAAAGCTACTGTTTTCACCCTTCATTTTTTTTTCCCTTCAACATTTTTCGAAATTGTTCTCAAGTATTCCTCCATTTTTAAAGCACAGATAGAGGAGAAGACTCAAAATACTTTTTTGGAGTTTGTCTGCCTTTTCCAGAAAGCCCCTTAGGATCGTCCTCCCTCATTGCTGACTCTAGTCAAGATCATCTTCTATGAGGTGCTCCTTTGCACTAATTAGCTGTCAGAATTCAATTATGGTTGAACAAAATAGACAGAAGGAGATTTAAAGAGCCCTGATGGGTTTTGGATTCTCAGTGTTCACTTTGTTTCCTGTTATTATCACTACTCTATTTACTTACTAACAATAAATGGAAATTCAGGCTCTCTAGGGCAAAAGGTTTTTAGAAAGACAAGAGGTTACCAGATATCAGTTGCTTTTGATACTGGTGACTGAGAAACAATTTCTGGGGCAACAAACTCCGGAGACCCGTATTTGCTGAACTGAGGCTCAAAGGGTGTGATCTTCTGAGCAAATCCAAAGTCACAGAGCTTCAGGTCTTCCCTTTCAGGATAAACCATGAGGATATTCAGTGGCTAATAAATGAAATAAAATAAAAGGGAGAAACTTTTCTTGAAAGCAGGCAATATTTTCATTTGTAAGTAAGAACAGTTCAAATAGAGAACGCCCATTCCGTGACCAACAAGAGACTATGATAAATAGACCTGCCACTGCACATTACCTTAATGTCTAAATGAAGGACGTTGTTGTCATGAAGATATTTGATTCCTTCCAAAATTTGCTTGATATATAATTTGACCTAAAAATTAAATCAATTGTTAAACAATCAGTAAACATTAATAGTAAATAAGAGGGTCCCTGATTCTACCAACATTTTTGATATATGAGGGAGAGATTGAACTAGAAATGCTTTTAAAACTAGAATGAACTTCTTGTATTAGTCTTGCAGCTGAAATAAGATGTGAACCAAAGATTACTCTGTGCCCCGTGTATGACCACATTGCCCTGATGGAGCCTTCTATATGCAAAATAGCCTTTACTTTTTTTTAAAAAAAAAACAAACAGTCCTACAAATATGCAAAAAAGAGATACAGAAATCCTCAAGCTTGATCAACCTCATAAACTGTCTAACTTATCTAATTCAAACTCAGCACTGGCTAGGTGTAAATCAGGCAAACACATTTAAAACACAAATCCATTTTAAAACTATGTTGTAAACCTATTTTCTTGACCATTTGTAGATCCAATCTGACTATGCCTGAACAAGGAGTGAAGATTTAGAGTCAGCTTCAGCTTTACAAGTCCTCTACCTTTAACATTTTATGATGTCAGCTGACATTTGATCTTTAAAAGTCCCTTCTAACCAGTCCCTTCTAACCCAACCCATTCTATGCTTCTATGACGTATCTCTCTGAGTTTTTCTAAGAAAAAGCAGTTTTACGAATAAAATCATAGAATCATAAAATGGTTTGGGTTGGAAGGGACCTTAAAGATCACCCAATCCCAACCCCCCTGCCCTGGGCAGGGCCCCCTTCCCCCAGCCCAGGGTGCTCCCAGCCCTGTCCAACCTGGCCTTGAACCCTTCCAGGGAGGGGGCAGCCACAGCTGCTCTGGGCACCCTGGGCCAGCGCCTCACCCCCCAAACAGGAAAGGACTTCTGCCTTAGAACTCACCTAAATCTGCCCTCTTTCAGTTTAAAACTGTTACCCCTCGTCTTATCCCTACACTCTTATAAAGAGTCCCTCCCCACCTTCCCTGTAGCCCCCTTTAAGTTCTGAAAGGTATGGGACACCTCGATACTACATGGGAGATGGGAAATATTTTGAACTTTGAGCAACAAGAATTTCAAAATAACCCTTAGAAACTGAAATTTCATCCTTTGGTTTGGAGACTGAAAAGGCATGGACAGGAGTCCAGTTGCTAGGTGATAAAGTGTTATTAAGCAAGTGCCAATATAGGACCTCCAGGTGACAGAAAATAAATTATGATAATAGAGCAAACATAACCTGTATTAGGCTGAATGCAATGCTTGCGGTCAAAACCACTGGCTGTTTCTAGTCATTCCCTAAAGAAACTCAATTTAGTAATAAAAGCTGATGGGAATACATTTTAAAGGCTGATTCTTATTTTGAAAGATTATCACTGGTTCAAAGACATTCCTCATATCTGAAAAGGAAAAAGAAACTGGAATATACTCTCGTGGTACCCACCAACTCTGGACTTTCAAGTGAGAAAGAAAGATTACCTCTGCTTCAGTGACAACACTCTTCTTGAATAAACGGTCAAGGAGCTCTTCACTGGAGCATCTACCAATGGCATTAAGGGAAAACAGAGCTACAGTTAAATGCTTATTTTTAGATTGTAACCACCTTTTTCCAGCTAGCAGGAGGTGATCTCAGGCAACGTGATGTAAGTGTCATTAATTAAAGCCTCTATTGCAGCAGTGTCCTTCTTGCAGAATTGGGCTGCTCTAAACCTGTGCTCCCTACGAGCAGGAGCAGGGTATTGCTCGTGCTAAAATCTACCTGTTGATGATGGGATTTCCTGCTCTGCACTGCATTTTCCTGCTGCTTACCCAGACTGGATCTCATGAAAACAGAGTTGCTAACTTCCAGAAATTTCAGGAAAAGACTCTTAATGCTTTAACAACTCATTCACACTTGTATATACAAGTATCATGATTTTTTTTTTTTTTTCCTGAAACAGCAGAAACAGTACTTCAGTGAAGATCTCACAGAACTATGCTATCCTGAAGTGCAGAGGAAGATTATGTCTATCATTTTATCTCAGGCAAAACCTAAAAATGATTAATTGCTTAGTTAATCAATAAATGAGCTCTACGTCATACTTCCCAGCCTCCTCAGACAAGCAGCACAGAAAAGGATACAACTCCAGAATCAAAATCAGTGTTTTCCGTGTTTCAAACTGATCCAGGAGCCTGGTAATTCTGTCGTGGGACAGAGAGGCAAGAATATCCCTCTCTTGATGTGCTCGAGCCTTCGTTTTGCTTCGTAGAGGTATGAATTTGGCAGCGCAAGACACTCTGTTCCCTTTGTGCACAACTCGTTTCACAAAGCTGAAGCAACCCCTGTGTAAAAATCAAAGGACAAGCCCTGCTCAGACTTGGTTCAAAGCCTTCTGCGCCGCAGGTGTAGACCTTTCCATGTCCCAGCCTTTGTCAGCTCCCTGCTGTTCAGGGCTTAAATTCTCCAACATGAGAAACTAATCTTCCTGTACGTGAAGTGCTATTGCCCTCTCCTGGCTGTCCCCAAAAATAAGCAACGAGTTCACATCAAGGGAGAGGCTGTTTCAGGTGATAGAGCCTTGCACTAGCAAAAGCTGATGCTATTGGATCCCTTGGATGGATACTGTGCTTGGGCAGACATCGCTTTGGGCTTGTGATGTTAACGTTGCCAAGAAGCCATACCTGGTCGCCTACCCTGCCAGTCTCTGGCTGATATTTTTTCTGGTGGGAGCTACCTGGACCTGTGGTTTGTACAGTGTCCCCCATCCTCTCTCAGAAACCTCAGGAAAGTGTTTCCAACACACCTGCCATAGGGTGACCTCTCACTTCTGCCAGTACTTTTGCCTTTTCAGACTTATCCACAGCTTGCCCCACCTCTGCCTCTGGTCACACATGCTCAGCAGCTCAGATGGGCAATTAGATATTCTTCAACAGTGTTGCTAGAAAGTTGGAAAATTCATTTACCTTCCAATCTCCTGTTTAACCTCATAAAGAGAATGGAGCTTTCTCCTAGTGGCCACTTTCTTTGCTTCTTGGTCTTTCTTAGCTTTGGAAATGAAGGAAAATAGAAGTGTTAATATTCAGACAACAATGCCTCGCTAATAGCATGCAAAGTTATTACAGGACAATTTAAGGCAGGAAAAATTACAGGAGTCCTCTAAACTTTTTCACAGTTTAGAGTTTCCTGTGGAGCTGTTTGATGACAGAATCTGTCAATATGAACTTTGCCCAACTTAAATGCGTCTGTGCAAACACACGTAGCATGGGGGAAAATAAGAGGAGTTGGAGATGTGTGCACGCCCGCAGGGCTACTATCGTATTGGCATCATGGAGATGTGGTGGGATGGCTCCTACGGCTGGAGTGTTGGAATGAAAGGGTACAGGCTCTTTAGGAAGGACAGGAAGGGGAGATGAGGAGGGGGGGTGTCACCCTCTGTGTCAGTGACCAGCTGGAGTGCAGGGAGCTCTGCCTGGGGATGGGTGAGGAGCTGACCAAGACCTTATGGGTCAGGATTAAAGGGAGGGCAGGGACAGGTGACATTATAGTGGGGCTCTGCTACAGGGCGCTCGACCAGGAAGACCGAGTGGATGAGGGCCTCTATAGACAGAGGGGAGCAGCTTCACGGTCACAAACCCTGGTCCTCATGGAGGACTTCAAGCAGCTTGATATCTGTTGGAGGAACAACACAGCAGGGCATAAGCAATCCAGGAGGTTCCTGCAATGCGTTGATGATAAATTCCTTCTCCAAGTGATAGAGGAGCCAATGGGGAGAGATGCTATGCTGGACCTTGTCATCACCAACAAGGAGGGGCTCGTGAGCAATGTGAAGCTTAAGGGCAACTTTGTCTGCAGTGACCATGAAATGGTGGAGTTCAGGATCCTCAGGGCAGTGAGGAGAGAGCACAGCAAGCTCGCTACCCTGGACTTCAGGAGGGCAGGCTGTGGCCTCTTCAGGGATCTGCTTGGCAGAATAGCATGAGATAAAGCTGTGGAGGGAAGAGGGGCCCAAGAAAGCTGGTTAATATTCAAGGATCACCTCCTCCAAGCTCAGAAGTGATGCGTCCTGACAAAGAGGAAGTCAGGTAAGAACACCAGGAGGCTGCATGGATGAACAAGGAGTTCCTGGACAAGCTCAAACACCTACAGAGGGTGGAAGCAAGGACAGGTAGCCTGGGAGGAATACAGAGAAAGTATCCAAGCAGCCAGGGATCAGGTTAGGAAGGCCAAAGCCCAAATATAATTAAATCTGGCCAGTGATGTCAAGGGCAACAAGAAAAGCTTCTATGGGTACGTCATTGATAAAAGTAACACTAGGGAAATGTGGGAAGGAAACAGGAGATCAGGTCACTCAGCACACGGAGAAGGCTGCAGTACTCAATGACTTTTTTGCCTCAGTCTTCACCATCAAGGGCTCCAGCCACACTGCCCAAGTCACAGAAGGCAAAAGTGGGGACTGGGAGAATGAAGAACCACTCGCTGTAGGAGAAGATCAGGTTCAAGACCATCTAAGGACCCTGAAGGTGCACAAGTCCATGTGACCTTATGAGATGCATCTGCAGGTGCTGAGGGAATTGGCAGAGGAAGTGGCTAAGCCATTATCCGTTATATTTGATAAGTAGTGGCAAACTGGTGAAGTTCCCTCTGACTGGAAAACAGGAAATATAATCCCCATTTTTAAAAAGAGAAAAAATGAAGACCTGGGGAACTACAGGCCAGTCAGTCCCAGCTCTGTGCCCAGCAAGATCATGGAGTGAATCCTCGTGGAAACTATGTTAGAGCACATGGAAAATAAGGAGGTGATTGCTGTCAGCCAACATGGCTTCACCAAGGACAAATCCTGCCTGACAGATTTGGTGGCCCTCTATGACAGGGTTACAGAGTTGGTGAATAAGGGCAGAGTGATTGACATCATCTACCTGGACTCTTGCAAAGCATTTGACACTGTCCCACATGACGTCCTTGTCTCTAAATTGGAGACATGGATTTGATGGATGAACCATTCGGTGGATAAGGAATTGGCTGGATGGTCACACTCAAAATGTTGTGGTCAACAGCTTGATGTCCAAGTGGAAAGCAGGGATGAGTAGCGTTCCTCAGGGGTTGGTGTTGTGACCAATGCTGTTTAACATCTTTGTTGGTGACAGGGACAGTGGGATTGAGGGCACCCTCAGCAAGCTCACTGATGACACTGAGCTGTGTAGTGCAGTCGACACGCTGGAGGGCAGGGATGCCATCCAGAGGGACCTGGCCAGGGTTGAGAGATGGGCCCACACAAACCTCATGAAGTTCATCAAGGCCAAGGGCAAGATCCTGCACGTGGGTCGGTGCACAAATATAGGTTGAGCAATGAGTGGACTGAGAGAATCCCTGCAGAGAAGGACTCGGGGGTGTTGGTTGATGAGAAGCTCAACATGACCTGACAATGTGCACTGGCAGCCCAGAAAGACAACCATGCCCTGGGCTGCAGCCAGAGCAGGGGGGGCAGCAGGGCCAGGGAGGGGATTCTCCCCCTCTGCTCTGCTCTGGGGAGACCCCCCTGCAGTGCTGGGGCCAGCTCGGGGGCCCCCAACAGCAGAAGGACACGGAGCTGCTTGAGCAGGGACAGAGGAGGCCACGAAGATACTCGGGGCTCCGGGGAGACCTTCAAGCGGCCTCCCAGGGCTTAAAGGGGGGACAGGAAAGGTGGGGAGGGACTCTGGATCAGGGGGTGTGGGGATAGGATGAGGAGTGATGGTTTAAAACTGAAAGAGGGAGATTTAGATTAGATTTAAGGAAGAAATTCTTTCCTGTGAAGGTGGTGAGGCGCTGGTAAGGTCCCTTATAACGCAAACCATTCTATGATTTGATAATTCTATGACCTTCACCTGACATAAATCAGAAGAGCCAGGCTAAAGAGCAGAGCACCAGCAGAGACATGGCCCCACTTATTCCTGTGGCCCATTGTATCAGTGGGTCATGTAGTCTTAAGATGAGAAAAAATTCTCATTTGGCACATATATGTATATATACATATATATGTATACATATATATATATGTAGGTCATTAGATCATTTGCTCTTATACTGGATCCTGACATACTGGTAATATAAAAATACTACACAGCAATACAGAGCAGGTACCATATGGGTAGCAGAAGATGACTGTAACAGATTACATATCACAGTGGCTATGGAAGCAAATTCTGCAGCTGAAAGAATGACGTTACCTTCATGCACGATAAGCTCTGCTTTGCACAAAACCTCCCCTCCTGCATTTTTGGCAACACAGGTATAAACACCACCATCTTCTGAGACAGCGTTGTCCACGACTAAGAAATACGTTGTTCCTTCTTTCCCGTGATGGAGCCTGTTGCTGTCTGTCAGCAATGAAGTGCCCTGAAAGAATGAAATAACATTTTGGCACTGGAAAAAACAAGATGGAAACAGAAGTTTCTTCTCTTTAGGAAGCGAGATAAAGGAGCAGAGCTACAGTACACACTGTTTAAGCTAGGAAATCTCACTAACAAAACGCTGGCTGAAGAAGTCCCCCATGTCTGACTGTTTCTCTGCTTCCACATTACCCAATAACATTTTTGTTTCATGGTCTGTTCATAGGAATAAAGGCTTGGGAGGGATCCCCAGGGCTAGGTGGTTTATCCTCCAGCTCTCCCCGCACACCACACCTGAGCAGTCAGCCCAGGGAGCAGGAGGATCGGCTGCTTCGCTCCTGCCTGGTCTCCAGCTTGTGCTGGGACTTGTGCTGCTTAATATGGTCATAAATGTTATAAAAAAAAGAACAGGAGGGAGCGTGTGTGACACAAAGAACAGATTATGAAGATTTGCAAAAGGATCTCTTGAGACCTCCTGCCTTTGCCAGTAAAATTCCAGATAAATGCATATAATACAATAAATGTAAAGTGATGCAACCATATTCCCCCACATGAAATGTCAGTCTCTGAGCTGTTCTTTATTACACTGGAGCAAAACTTTGAGTTACAGTAGATCACTCCAGGCCAACACCAGCTCAGAGATTGGCAGCAGTCAAAGAGTACCAGATGTTAGAAATTATTAGGGAAGAAATTAAGAATAAGACAGAAAACATCATCTTATAAATCCTTGGTTTGCGCAGGGTGTGGTACTGTGGCAGCAATGTTCCTTCTGTAACAGCTTCCAGATGAGGATTGACACAGCAAGTTGGGGCTCTTCTGCCTGGAAGGGAGGCTCTTGCAATACGACGATAGATTTGTACAGAATTATCAATAGCCGAGTGAGTGGACATGGATTAACTTTTCCTGATACAAGAGGTAAGAGCCGACACATGAAGCTTGTGGTAAATATGCACAGATCAGCCAAAAAGAGGTGGCACTTCAGGCAGCATACTCATTAGGTTGAACTCCTTGACAAAGGACACTGTATGTGTGGGACATTTTGGTGCAAGAGGAGACTAGATAAGCATGTGGAGAGCTTTACTGGGGGTTAGAAAATAGATAAAAGTTCAGCTAGCTTGTGATAATTCTGAGCTGAACATTTCAGAGATTGCAAGAATACTAACAGGGTGTATCATATATTCTTGCCTTGTTCTTATTCTTTTCAAGGTGTTCAAGATGTGTGCACGTGTGTGTGCGTGGGAGGGGGTTCTCTGCATTTTTTCTTGGTTTTTTTTTTTTTTTTTTTTTTTTAGATTATTTTATTTGTCTGAGTAGCTCATTCTTGTACTCCCCACACAGAAAAAAAAAATGGATTAAAACGTGTGTACAAACCATTTAGTTGGACAGAATAGTTACAGACAATCATTATAGAACAACACTGGCTTATTTCATCGGCACGACAATATTATGAGGAATAATAAATTATTTCTCCTTCCTTTCTATGGGATATTCATTGTCCTTAGTTACCCTCATTTTACCAATTGGCTGTAGAAAAGATACAAAGCCTGAGAAGTCACATTGACAATTGGAATAAAACACTCTTAATCCCATCTCTGACCCCAAAACTACAGCAAACATCTTGGTGGCTCTCAGGCAGGAAGCAATCTCCCTTCCTGCTCATCTTGGTCCCCAAATCCATCTTGGTTGCCCCCTCTGTGAAAAGAGCCACAGTGACACTGGAGACAGCACAGGGTGAGATGCACGGTTGGTGGTTCCAGCAAGAACTGCAGCTGGTTCAACAAAAATCTGTAGATACGACCCAGAAACAATGTAAAATGAAAGAGCAAAAGAAATTCCTCAAAGAAGTATTGCACTACAGTCCTTTCTGTGGTCCTTGCTCTCAGCCAGAGAAAAACCTGCACTTACCTTAAACCACAAAACAGTAGGCTGAGGGGTTCCTTCAATGACTGCCTGAAATTTGGCACGCTCTCCAGAATTCACCTGCACGTCCTCAATTGTCACTTGCATATAGGGAGGACCTGGAAAGACACGAGGGTTTGCTGCATGCACAATACCATAACTTTATTCATAATGTGCTGGTGTAGGTTGAGATACTCAAATGAAATTTATAGGACTGGCCATTTAGGATGTGATGTTAGCTTAATGTCAAATCAAATTATATCACAGCAATATTTTGGGGCTTCTTTATACTGGCATTACATTTAGGATTCTCGTCGTCACGCTTATCTGTCACTTTTTGTTTATTAAAGAGTTACTGCTCAAGAAATGGGAGTATTTAAAAATGTCATCAAGAGTTATTGCCAAAAGAAAAGACAATGACGATCATGGGATGTGGGAAAGGGAAACAAGGTTTTTACTTACTTGTTGGGGTCTTCTCCTCAGTCTTATACACACAAGTTCTCTCTGTGGTCTCAATGTAAACTTCGCTGTGTACGTCCCAGACCACATCTCCTTCTCTCCTGTACCAGTCTCCTGTCCCTGCTGCTGGTGATGTTCTTTCATGAAGCCCAAGAGAAAAGATTGTTCTATAGTCACATACAACTACAGAGATACAGGGTTACACCCTGCCATTGATCTGTGTGTTTAGCCAACAAACAAATAATTATTTACGTAAAATTAACACAAGAAGAATTTTGTTTTGGGGGAATTAAATCCTCTCCAGCCTTTTCTGTCCTTCTTGCACAATGCATGTGTGAACGGGATTCTAAAAGTAACAACAAACCTACACGAATCAGTTCAAATCACCACCTGCTTCCTCCACCACAGAGGTCTTGCTTTTCCTGCAACAGTCTGCCACATTTGGAAATCTGTGTATTGAGATGGCATTTACCTGGTAATAGGAACAGTGCGCTCCTGAGTGCTTTCCTCTCCAGCAGCTGACTCTTCACAGGGAGGACCAGGGCTGGGCTTTGGCACACATGGTTCTTCAGCTGTAATCTGCCTTTGTGCTTTGTCTGGCAGCAGAGATAAGGCAAGTTAAACAGGTCACCTGTGACAGCACATCTGAAACCCAGAACAAACCTTTGGAGCCACCTTTAATCTGCCTAGTGCCAGGACTAAGTCTGTCTGACCTCAGATGAGTTCAATTACTGAAGTTAAGAGTGGAATTTGGACCTTTTGAGAAGGTCATGGGCTTGATTAACATCAGAGTGACTGAACGGTGGCACATTGTTGACTGGACAAAACAAACTTTTCTGTAAGGAAACACACATGGACAAAAATAGGAAAGGCAGTCAGTAGGGAGAAGAGGAAATAGTATGACTGGAAGGATGGTGTGAGTTCCACACATCCTTTATAAGAGATAATTTAACAGTGTTAGAATGCCTGCTCATGGCTGTGATGAAATCATGGAATCGTAGAACCATTTAGGTTGAAAAAGACCCTTAAGATTATTGAGTCCGGCTGTTAACCTAACACAGTGAAGTCCACCACTAAGCTGTATCCCTAAGCGCCACATCTACACGTCTTTTAACTACTTCCAGGAATGCTCAGCATTAACTTTGTACACATGAATTCTTCAATTAAACTTTGCATTATGAGACCAGTTCTTGACACACTGGTGCAATCACAGACAGCATCACTGAAATGAGTAAATTTACATCAGTGTAAAACTGGTGGTCAAGGCAGGCCCTGCCTGGGGGATACAACTAACATGGAGTTATGCTAATAGGGAAAACCTGGTGATTCTATAACATCAGCATCGGTACATCTTCACTAGGTTCTTTGAAAATGTCCTTGTACAACTCCAAGCTACCTCAGAACAAGGTTTGTAATCCAGGGTTTATAAGAACAAGGAAATAAAAAGATCGTGCAGCTTGATTGTAGTTCGGGTATTGTTATTTTTTTATTATTAATTATCTTATCAGATATATCTTCAAAAACTGGTTTGATCTTCAGTTCTAAAAGTACCTGATTTTCTTTTGATATTGACCATTCAAGTTAATCCATAGGATAAAGTGCATCATCTCCTTTTTCATCTGAGGAGAAAAAGTTAAATCCAGAGGAGTCATCTCCCCAGCAAGAAGGGCTTTTTTGGGGTGCACTCTAAGGATGTTTGGTGCTGGCTGGTTTTGGAAAAAAGCAGCAGTTTCTAGAAATCACATAAAACAGCTCTATTGGTATGGAAAACATAGTTATTCAAAGCACTACTGGCAGGGTCAGAGATCCCAGGTTGGTGGGATTGTGCCTTCCTATTGTCAGTACTACTGAAATATTTGCCTTCTTTTTATTCAAAACATGTCATCCTAGGGACAGTTGTCAAGTCTCCATCTTATTAAAATAATTCCCCATGTTAATAACACATTTAGTTTTCTCAGATGAAAGGACTTCAAAACCATCTCATTCACTATTCTATTATCTCTGTAGTTATGACTAAGGAAATAATCTGCTAGTTGACATTTTACTTATGATTTTTGAGTTATCCTGCTTCACCAGAGGATTATTTTCACAAATGATTTCCTACTAGAAAGGAGAAAAGGTTTTAAAGCCCTGTCACTTTTCTATGCAGTTATTTTGGGTCTGATTCCGTGAAATGCTTGTATCCTTGTTAAGTATTAGACAAAAATATCTTTTTTTTAAAACAGCATCTGGAGTTTGAGGGTTGAAGGCTACTTGACATTGTCCTTTTAAGTTAACACTGGTGGAAGACAGTTACTCTGACTTGACACAGAGACAGCTTAGACAAATTCCTATGGCAGAAGCAGAAGGAAGAGTGGAAGGGTTGCTGCTTATTCATGTTTAAAAAAAAAAAAATGCAAAGACAAAAGACTTGTTCTCCTGGCAAGGCACAGTCACATGCATCATTGGTTTTAATCACATGGAAGCTGCTAAGGAGCCTGTCAAGGCTCCAGGGCCAGTGAAATGTGGGTGAACTTGATGCACTTGATACAGGGGTGTTAAACATATTTCCAGCTTGTTTATGCAAACAATAAAAGAAAAACAACCTCCCTTACCCACCCCACCAAATCAAAAAATAAATGACTTCTGTAAATGTAAAGGAGGCATCCCATCCCCGCTTCTCCCCCCAAAACATTTAAAGCAAGTCCAGGATCAAAAGCCCAAAGGTTTAAAAAGTTCTTTATCCCTCTGTTTTGGGCAAGTGATGAGCCAAGCTCTACTTCAGACAGTTTTCAAACACCTTCTCTTTCCAGAAAGATCTGCCCCAAACTGGTGTCCAACCTAACCCCAACCCACAGCCCCATGTTTATTTGGGTCTGAAAGTCTTCTCTTAAACCTCAACTGCCCAAAATACTTCAATTGCTCAAAACACGACGAAACATAAAAATGGAAGAAAAAAATATCACTATTGACATGTTCAATATTTTTGTCTCTTTTGACACCCTTGGGACATTTTCTAGATTCATGCCAAACCTACCATGCCCTCCAGCAGCCTGGGTTTGGGTACTGGCTTCATGAACTAGCGCAGAGGGCCCGGCTGATGTTTCCGAGTGGTCTGAAGGAATGGACCCAGGAAGGCCAAGGCTACCAGCTCCTTCTCGCATGCCCGGGGGAAGAGTCACCAGCAGTGATGCTGAGTCCACGAGTTTCTTTAGAGCTGTCTTGATCTCCTTATCAGCACGCTGAAGCGAGGCCTGGACAGAAGTCTCCATTTCTGACTGTGAAGGAGTCATTCCTACAGACAAGAAGAACAGCTTTTCTCTCTTCCGGGTAAAAAGAAAATAGCAGCATCATCTAACCCATGGAAATATTTGCAATTGTATCATTTTCCCCTCACAGAGCAGAGAGCTGATGCAGAAATTCTTATTCCAGCAAGAAAGAAGGTAGCTAAGACTTGAAATAAGAAGGTTGACAAAACACACTTTGGAAAGACGTATCTCACCAGGTTGAGGACACTGTGCCAGCCTGCACACACACCCGGCCTCTCCCCAGACAGTGGAACGAAGGATCCATCTTCCAAATCAACCCTACATTGGGTGATCTGAGATCAATTAAATGAACCCAGCAGTGACCGATTGCACCGATACAGACACTATGTGCAAGGAGGATGTTATTCTCACAGGGAAGAAGGTGTGAGCAGGTACCAGCCTCATCGGTGATTTTGGAGAAGGGCAGGGGAAAGAAGGGGGGGCTGTTCTGCTTCATGAGCCTGTAAAACTGAGAGGATGGCAGAAAAGCTACTCTTACTTTACAATATCTGAATGAATTTACTGGGCTTTGCACTAGAAGGTACCCGAGACTTTTAAATTTGTACTGGACTATGCCTTTGCAAGATACTCTAGAATCGAAGTCATCTGGTCTGTACAGTAATGCACAGCAGTTGTGTATGTGGAAGCATTATACAGAGGAAGATACAGCTCCTGTCTCAAGAAACCCAGAGTCTTGAGGGCCGAGAGAAGACAAAAGCTCTCCACTCAGAAAAATGGATTTTCAAGCATGTCTTTGTGGAATGGTGACCAAGGAGACAAATACCATGCTCTCATCCTCAATCAGCGCTGGTAAAAGAAGCTAGGCTAGAATGGGATCATAGGACCTCAGGAGCTCATCTCATCGAATCTCCTGCCCAATACATCTTCCACAAATCTTGAAGAGGCAAAACAAAGATAAGATATCTAGGGAAACACTCAAGTAACCGTATGACAGACAAAATGCATGCCAGATTATGAAAATTCATCATGTTCATGATGTGACTGCCTGCCAAGCAAGAGTACAAACTCGAACCATCATATGGTTCAAGAAAAAATAAGAGCAGTTGCACACAAATGGCTCTGAGCTGTTAGGGTCCTGTAGCTGTTTTGATTCTGCAAATTTCTCACCCTTAAATTACCATGAAAGACCTTAGCAGGTAAAATTGAAGGCTACGTTTGGACCAGACCCCTTTGAAGATATCTCACTTGATTTTTGCTTTCAGTGTCCCCCCAATGAGCACAGTGGTTATGAAATATTTCAGTTCTGGGTTGTTGATGGAAGAAGTAAGTTTTGCTCACACAGTGTCCCAGACTGCTCATGAGTGTTCATCAGCACTGGGCCGGGTGGAAAATCTTTAAACATTTTCTTAGATAAATATTTTGATTCTCTGGTGTTCCTGTTGTGATTGGTACTGGTACTGTTCTACAAGCTGGGCAGCTGCAAACAAGTGAACTGATTGGAAAGGCATGAAACACTCTTAGTATCTCTCAATGATAAAATATATTCACACAAAATATATATATATATACAGTTTATATATAACCATAGGTCTCATCCATGTTGCTAATTCCACCACTTTCCTTGCTGTTTAGGGTTGTTACACATTATGATTCAAGCTGCTGACCTGAGGAACTTTAATATTAGCTGAAGTATGACAAACTAACGTCTCAGTGATGACACATCTGTGATGGACAGCTTGTTTCCCAATTCTAAAATCGTAACCATGAACCTTTCCACCCCACATCTCCTTCAGCCAAGGAAACACAAAGGAACACGAGACCGACACATGTTTTGAAGTTCCAATTCAGCCTCAGAGAAAGACCCAAGAGGACAAACATCATTCAAAATTATTGACTCAGAGTTTTGAGTTGGAAGTATCCCTAAAAATAAGTTCTTCCACTTCAATACTTCCAGAACTGTGCATAAAAAAAAGCAGCCAGAGCCCAGCTGCATTCATGTTCTTGGGTTGCAACCCAGCTCCTGCTGAAGTCAACAGAAGTGAATGAGTTGAGGGACTATCAAGTGCCGTGGAACAGAGAAGAACACAGAAACCCAGTCAGTTCAGTGACAGCCGATGCAAGACATTTATTGATATAAACCCAGCATCTAACAGCATATCTTGGTTGTTTTGCTTTGTTTTTGTTTTTGTTTTTTTTGTTTTTTTTTTTTGTTATGTGTGTTTTTTTCTTTTTGTACCTCAAGCAAACTGAAGTTTCCACTTTATTAATACCCATTTACCTGCAGGAAATTTAGTAAAACATTCTTTGTATTAAAATTTTTAATACAGCTGTATGTTTTCATCTACAAGAAATAAATCCCCACACATCTCATTAGTTATCTACATAGTTTAATCACTTACAAGCATAATTTTTAACCTCTAGGAAAATATTTTGAAAGTATATGTAATGAACTTCTCATAAACCTTTCACTTTTTGAACAGAGTCCTGCATAGGATTTTAAAAACCCCTTTCAATTGATTAGCTTTTGCTTAAATTTCAAAAGAAAATGTAAACAGATGTTATTTGCTTTGAGCTAATGAATCAAAGTATACTTATTTCTTCTACGACCATCTGAAATGCAACCTTTCAGTTTCTTTAGAAAAACCTGAGCATCAACCAGAATGGGAGGAAACCTCCACATTCCTTTACACATCTTTATCATCTGCTGGATGAATATTCTATTTTTGAAGACTATGATAGGACAAATTCCTTTCTCAGCAGTATCTTTGTAAATATGAATCAAACCCACTTTGTTCTGTAGAATTATTCTAGATTGATACTGGAATAACTGAGATCAGAATCAGGCCCAATATAAAAGAAATATTTTTAGTTCAGAAAGTATTTCCCTGATGTATGTCTGTTACTTTCCAATGTACAGTGCAATATATGAAAAAAGCACTAACATATATCCATCATATTGCTTAATTATAAAACAAACAGTATAAACCAAGGAGATGTTATAAAAAATGGGAGAGTAACATACAAGAGGCTTGATTTCTTTCACCACATGTAATCACTGGAAAAGCATCCTATATCATGAAGGTAGTGCACATGATATTACACATAAAATCCTGTTTGGATAGTGAAAGTAAAAGTCTGTGAAATCAATATGTTCATTTTAGTCAGCACATGATCAAGGTGTAGCCACAGAAGGAAAAAAAAATAATGTATTATTTTCTGCAAGCACCTTTTGTGAATTCAGTCCCTGTTGGCAGGAACATTGCCCGGAGGACTCCAGAACAAGCTTCACAATATTACCTAGCTGGGAAACACTGAGACAACATCACACATACATTTCCAAGGCAGAATCTCACGCAAACCTCTCTCTTCATGCTAGTTAGAAATTCAGCTGTGTTTGAGCATTTCTGGTTTCCCTACACCATCTAAATGAAAGCATTTTCTATTGCAACACTTCTATGGAACTCAGCTGGGACAAGGTGTTGGGATTTTTCACCCCATACCTCTTGTCAGATAGAGAGGGCCAGTGCTTGGTCCTACTGAGATCAATGAGAAACTCCAGCTGACTTCAACTGGGACCAATATTTGGGCCTATGAGCTCATTTCTTTCCAAGGCTGAGCAGCTTGTTGAAGGTCTGTGCAACACACATTTTTGGTGAAGCCAACAGGAATGGGCCATGCTCAGTGCATCTTGGCCTTCCTCTCAATCAGCACTCCTGAGAAACTCAACAGAAGGCAGCACCCCTACAAGACAGCTCAACAAACATGGTTACAGTAATACAATGCAACTGGCAGTGCTTCCAAGCAGCCCAGTACATTTTCAACAGATGTATTTTCCATCCAGGCATTTATGGTAAATATCTCTTTTCTTTCTTTCTTTCTTACTTTTTAAACTGTCTTTGTGCTCCTGCTACCTTGCTGTAGCTCAGTGGTGAATAGCTCTTAGCACATATAGGAGACGTCAATCTGTTAACAGTAATATTTCACCCCTGGCATGTACAGGAGATCAAATATTCTTCCAGTAATATTTATTGACAAAGACCACATTTGGGGTTCTTTGTATGTGTTAGTGTTTGATTAAAGATGTCATTTTGTGCAGCACTTCAATCTTTTGGTGCACATTAAGTAAATCTATATTTTAAAAGATATGGCTTATAAATCCACTACACTAGAATGCAGAATAATGTAACCTACATCTTTAGACAACTAGGAAGTGGACTTAAAAATATCAGTAATTTAAAAAAATATGGTCTTTTTTTACTTAAAGCAGAAGAGAACAATGAAATCCTTGCTTCCTTGCATCAGGTGGACTTTCACCATTAATTTTAGTCAAATTAGGATTTCAACCAAAAGGTCTGAGCAGCCCTTTGCATCCCTAGTAAATACAATATTTTCTATATGTTTCATTCTGTGGCAGAAGTTTAAAATAATGTAACCAGACTGTGCAGGTTGAAAGGTTTATGAAGAAATATTGATAGAGCGAATTGGTGTCAAAAATGTACGGCAGAGTCAAAGCAGTGTGAAGCTCCATGACCTTCAAGCACATGCAGTGACAGGAGATCGCTTTAGCTGGAAACAGTCCTCCTATCCTGGGCTGCTGAAGGATGCTGAAAAGTTTAGATACCTCCACCTTCTTGCCACACCATAATGTACAAATTGGTAGTTGAAATAATTTTTAAGTTCATGGATTAAAATGCACTTATTCATTTATATTTCTGTCATAGGCAGGAGAATCAGGCTTTTCCTAAACCTACCATCACTGCTCCACTACGGAATGATATATGTTCACCTCGATCAAAACTTTTAAAATTACAAACTGTTCTGACAGACATGTTCCCTTTAAGACTGGAAAAGCTCAACATATAGTATTTAAATATATTTTCCTCAAAGATATTCCCTTGTACATGTTACCTTGTAATATTTGCCACCAATTCCCCTCACCTACAACAGTTTTGATTAGTTTTGTCTAAAACGCTGCTTTCTTTTGCGTTGAAAATTATGCTTGCATCTGCTCAGCTTTGGGAGAGGT